TATATTATCCTCAGCTTAGTGTGCCCACAAGTCACACCAAGGTGAAAAGTCAACAGGGAGCTAAGAATTAAGGATGAAAACCAAGAGCCTTTCTTTCGGATAAATTATCAGGTAACTCCGACTATTAGGTTAGTTTTGTGATCATACTTCATTACATAACATATATTTAATATATAATAATTACAATTAATAACATTTTATTTCATAATTACGAATATGTAGTTTATGATTATATTTCTCCTCTTCCAACATTCCAAACATATGCCTTAACATGAACTTCGGATAAATCGATGCCAACTATGTTTGTTGAGTAATATTTATAGGCATAAAGGCCATAGTGTTAATCGAGTATTTTAGATTTCCATAATTTAAGATACAATATTTTTAAAGAATTTATAATGGACAGTCTGCTTTTAGATATCCAGGCTTCTTGTATTCATAATAGATGATATCTTTGATTTCTTATTTGTTATATTACTACAGGATGCATTATCTATATTGATTCTGCGAAGTAATCTACATCAGTTCTAAAATCGATGTAGAATATAGTGACTTAGAAAATGTATATAGGTCTACATCGATTTTGAAACCGATGTAGATTATGCATATTCTACATAAATTTACATCGATTATCAAGAAAACCAATATAGATTTAGATTTATGTATAAATCTACATATTGATTTTTTTAGAAAATCGATGCAGATTACATTTTTTTTTATAAAAAAAATGCTTATTTTTAGATTCTTTTTGTGTTAATATTACCTGTAGGACATATTTTGTTTCACATAAATAAGATATATGTGCCTATAAACTATATATAATTACTAATTATTACATTCTGATTCTCAACAATTTGCATAAATAAAAAAATTACAACACTTCAACCAACAATCTTCAGTTTAAAAACTAGTTCTATATATAATTTTTAGTTCTAGCCAACATATCAAAGATTCACCTATATGCATTAGTGGTAAATAGAACCATAACATTAATCACCAAATCTTTTATGGTATTCACACAACGATCTTAGTCCTTCCATACCAGAAATCTAAGTAATCTGCTGATTTATATATAACTTGTTTAGGAAGTCTCACATAAATAAATTGAAACAATTTGATATTGTATCCTCAAACTAATATTTTCTCACACCAATAAATGTACCGGGAGTTGAAAGGTTATGTATTAATTTAATTTTGAAACCTTAGAAGGTCTTTCTACACAAGCCTTGTAGTATATCATACACAGAAAGAAATCATCAAAACCTTTTATTAGCAAAGTATTCTCTAAAACTAAAACCAAGTGCTGCAAGGCATTCCAAAATAGTGGAATTCTAAATGACATGTTTTATCTCTATGATGCAGTCAAACACATTAACATGAGAATGCAACGCCTTAAATAGCTTGATCCTGACTAGAACACTAAAAACTCAGAAACTAAATCTTTCACAATTTCTCCAAAGCAACATGAAAGATGGAATACATTACGTTGAAATTGGTAAACAGCTTCGGTTGTAATCCATTTTAACATCCTCCATGGTCAAATTACAACCTTCAAGGTAGTTGATGATATTTGATTTTAGTATTCATTTATGAAAACCGAGCAACTTACCATATGTCACACCTAATGAAAGAAAGAAAGGAGAAGAGTCAATACCTTGTATGGAAATTACTCAAACTAATAAAATAACTGTAAAGTGTTAAAAGGCATATTTAAATGTCAAAATCCTTATTGTCAAAATCCAAATGTATTTTACTTGGCCAAACGTAAACAGATGCATAAATTTATATTTTGTTATTTTCATGAATGATAAATATTGTATGTCAACGTATGTCAAAATCCTATAATTTCATGTGTTCATTATTTTTCTTTTCTCAAGCCAGTAGACCATTTTGGCTATTAATTTTTAGCAAAATACATTAATAGACATGAGGATTAACCAACAACTTAAAATAAATAATGCTCATGATATGAAGGATGAGGAAATTAATTTGTTACAAGTTTGTAACTTTTCTAACTACACTACAAAGCAATACCTCTACTCTTTGCAATGAAGTAGATGATTTTTTAATTCAATTTTTCGATTCTATGGCGCTTGCTGCAACTCTCTGTGTGGTTTCATCGTGTGAGTTCTTAAGCAGTCTAATCAAGGACGTAAGTCCACCTACTTCTTGTAGAAAAAAATAAGAGAGACGAGGTAATACTAATGTTGTGGGTGAACGTAGCAACTCACTGTACTTTCATTGAATAAGGGATGAATTTTAAATAGAAATTGTACAAAGTAATGAACTAAAAAGAAGATAATAAAATATCTTATCAAAACAAAACTTATCAAAAACTATCTTATCTGAACTAAAACAAATAACTCAAAAGATAAAACAAACTAAACAAATAATTTTTTCATAGTTTAAGTGATTTGAGCTCTTTAGTAATGTATGAAAGAATTTTTGGGGAGCCATCACTTTCACTATGGGAGGAATCTTGATACATGGTTAGACAAAAAGGATTTTCACACAAAAATAGTTTTTAAAGAAAATAATATTTTTGGAAGTGCTTAGACTTGACACTTAGAGGTCTAAGAGTACAAATTGAACTTTGGAGGGTGGTGAGCTACTAAAGAGTCACTTAATAACCAAGCCTCTTCAAGTAAAAATCTCTAAACCCCCTTGTATGTTTGCCTTGCACAAAGCAATTTTCACAAAGATATATTTAAAAGAAAAATAACAAGCAAGTGCCTAAAGTGTACAATTGTTCAATGCTTGAAAACATAAAGTACTTGAAAACATAAATGGCATGAAAACATAAATTTCTTGAAAACTTAAATTTCTAAAAACATAAATTGCTTAAAACATAAATTGCATGAAAACCTAAAGACAAGAAAACATAAACTAGGCGTTTTTAAGCAAGTAAACCTAGGTGAGAGCTTGGAAAGTACCAAAGACTTCCAAGGACCACTCTCACATGTACTAAACGAAATTTCCTAATTGAAAACACTAAGGAGAGATAGAGATACACCAAAGGCACTCCAAGAAACTCCTAATAAAGGCCTTGTAGAAAAATGGAAGAAATTGAAAACTTACAAGAAATGAAATGCAAATTTACATAAAATGAAATGCAAATTCACATTCAAATGAAATGCAAATTCACTCCAAATGAAATGTAAATTCACACTAAATGAAATTGGTGGCTGCACTTAATTTCAAGGTAAACAAAATTAGCCACTAACTAGAGACGGATTTAGAGACGGATTTTGTATGGAAAATTGGTTTTGAGACAAAATTTTCCGTCACTAAATTAGTCTCTAAAGTTCACAAAAATTTTTTCTAAAAATTGGTTGTTCCTTTTCTTCCAATTCCAGCCACCAAGATTGCTGCCCTCACAAGTGTATCACTCCACTTTTAGAAGTAGCCTTGATAATGGATACTTCTAGGTGTTTAGAACTCAAAGCCAAAAGTCCAATGGAGAAGAAATTCTTCTAGGTCACCACCAAAAACCTTCAACATTGACTTCCTTTGAGCTTGGCCTTCAACACCTTCAAGGAGCACTCAACACACCTTAAGTGATGGAATAACAAATCTAAAAACTAAAAATGTAAAATTAGGAACAACTACACCAATTGGCGGAAAGAAATGTGACAAAACTAGAAGGAATTCCAAGAAAAGACAAGCAACAAATAAAGCACTATTTGAAAGCTAGCACACAAAGGAATTCCTAACAAAGGCACTAGAATGGATTAAAAAATAAAATCTAAGATTAAAAACAAAAATAACACAAAATATGTGGCTGGACTGAAAATTTAGAAGCAAAACACACCAAAAACCGAGAGCTAGTAAACTAGTTTTTCACTCCTTTTGGCTTTTTCTTTTACTATTTTCTTTCTTTTCTTTTTGCAATATATTTTGTTCTTTCTTTTTCTTTGTTAACGCAGGAGTTTAATGCCTTTTAATCAAGTATAGATCTCGGTCTTAAACTAATAAAACTACTGCCAAAATATTTTCACAAAACAAGAGGTGTTCACATGCATAATTCAACTAGTGCTTCTCAATTTTGTAGTATTTTTAGGTCAACTTTTAGGCACTATTTTCTTTTGTTTTTCTCATGCATTTGAGACACATACACCTCTGTTTTGCTCTGTTTTAATGCTTTAAGAAATCTTAAAAGTTTTAGCCACACAAAAAAATTCAAGGAAACCTAATAGGAGTAGTGTTTACAAAATTTTGTTGACAAACTTTTTAATGTGACATAAAGGAAACCTAACTCTAAGAAGTTTGCTAGAACTAATAGCAAATCATGAACTCAATCATATAAAGCAAAAGAACATTTAAGTAGGTACAGATTTATAAAGCAAAAGACATACCACACAATGATTCACAAACAACACAAAAAATTAGGTCAAACAAGCTAGTCTAGGAATTTTCAACATGTAAAAGGACTACACATGACTTCTATGACAAAACAAGTGATTCAATAACAAAAACAATGCTAAATGAATGTTGTCCAATCACGAACACATGTTATAGAATGGAGAAGACTCAATCAAAAATAAAAACGCACAAGTATAGGAGAACTTAGGCGCACAAACACAATTGATTCAAGAAGAATTAGGAACAAGCAAACATGAATCAATTAATTCATATGAGACATATAGGATCAATCAACATGTTTATTAGACTTAGATACATACAGAAAATGCAAATGTAGACAAAAAAGCAAGAGGCTATTCAAACAGAAAGAGATAAAATTGAAAGAGAAGGCCAACTTGCTTATCTTAAGGAAGAATTGAGAATTCTTAGGCAAGAAGAAGAAAACTTGAAAGAAGATATGAAGAAACATAGAAAAAAAAGTAGGAGCTCACATTCCCAATATACATCCCCTAATGAAAGCATGAATCAAGGGGATCACTACCAACCTCCACCTAGAAAGATAATAAGACTTAGGGAAGTCAAAGTTGACCTCCCACAATTCTTTGGAAAAGATGATGTGGAGACCTTTAACCAGCCATTGTACAACGTACTGAACTAACAAGAAGATAATAAAATATCTTATCAAAACAAAACTTATCAAAAACTATCTTATCTAAACTAAAACAAATAACTCAAAAGATAAAACAGACTAAACAAATAATTCCGAATAACTAACTCGGATATCTCTAAAGTTTAAGATTATCTAACACTTCTACAATCTTCTTCTGATTTGTTTCTGCAACATCAGGGTAGATAGATGCTATGGCTAAGTTTTTTAATAATATCAATTGGCAAGAAACCCATGAATAATCTACAGAAACATGATGCGAGTATAAGTCATGACTTGAGAAAGGTGAAGCAATTAACTTCCATGATACTGTCCTCAGTTTCACCTAAACATGTTAATAGCCAAAAGCCAAGTGTGAGCTAGCAGTAGCAAGTTAGTGGTTAAGGTTTTGTGTAGTGTGAAGGGACTATAGTTTACATCTACGTGTCACCACACAGTAGATTATGTCTCTATGGCTTGGACTACCATTTGCACAAATATTATTGCAAAACAAAACATTGATATGTAGCGCAAAGTGAATTGAAGATATTAAATAGAAATAATGATAGCATAATTTACCAATTTCTCCCCTCTTAAGCTTTTTCAATCAAGTAATCACCATGTAATGTGTAGTAACTTAAAAAATCTTTAATCATTCGATTATAGTCAAAACTAGTAACAAAAGCAGTATTTCCCTTTAATAAAACATAAATTAAAGCTAATTAATAAAATATAAAATATTGCCTAAAATACTTGATAACTAATTGAGATCCTAAAGTGGGAGGGGAAATTAACAAGACTAACAAGTCAGATTTTGTGTTCCTTAATCCTTCCAAATGAATTGATGTTCAACACTGTTGTGCAAAGTAGTTTTGCTATTATAATTAGCAAAAATCCTCATACTTTTTTTTTACTGTGCATCACCTTCTCTTCAAGCCTCTTAAATGATTCCTTATAGTCTTTCCGATAAACCAGCTGCTTGAGTACCACAAGAGCAACAATGAAAGCAAATTTCAGCTAAACAAAAATCACAAGAGCAAAAACAAAATAAAAAGGCATATGTTAGAATCACATAGAACTTTCAACTTCAACAAGTTTGAAATATAATGGTTCTACTGATTGAGAAAAGGATATCTTTACACTAGTGGAAAATTAGTATATTACGTCACCTCTTTAACATCGAAAATACGAAAATCTGACGTAAAAAAGACGCGGTGACATTTTTTGTAATTTTCGCGAACTTTTTTACGTCGGGCCTGGGATGGTCTGACGTAAAAAGTCAAATCTACGTCGGATGTATGTTGTGTCCGACGTAGATTTGACATTTTACGTCGGACCCTACTAGATCCGACGTAAAAAAAGGACGCGAAATTGAATAAGTGAGTGCGAGGCACACTGCGCGCATTCACTCTTCATCACTTTTCATTTTTTTCTCTGTAAACCCTCTCCCTCTCCTTTGTTACTGAATTGTTTTTTTGTCTTTTGCAGAGGGGTGAACTCTTTGTTACTCATTCGCACACTGTTGCAGCTCATCAGGTATGAATCAAGGTTTCGTTAACACTTTTTTGTTTCGCATTGCTATTGTGGCTATCTGATCTATTCAATTTTTTGGTTGTTCTATTTGTATAGGTCGTTGGCCTTTTCTTTTGGGTTGTTCTTCTTGCAGAACGACCCGTTCTCCAAGTAGAACGGGCTGTTTTGGATGGAGAACGGGTCGTTCTGCTTGGAGAACGGGCCGTTCTGCAAGCAGAACGCGCAGTTCTGCTTGCATTCTTATGTTTTTTTTACTACTTTTTTACGTCAGATTTTGGTAATGTCCGACGTAAATTTACGTCAGTTTTATAGGTTTACGTCTCCCGCATTTATGTCGGTATTTTTTCTGACATAAAAAGCTCAAAATATCCGACGTGAAATACCTCTTTTGTACTAGTGTTAATGTCAAAGTCAATTGCAAGAACTAGCTCCATGTCCATCTGAACACAACATCACAACAAAATATTTTTTTGTTAAAAATATCACACATGACTGCTGGTAATGGCATCCAAACAAAAACAAAATATGTAGAATTCATTTTAATTGTTATTTAGGTATATGTCACCTAATAGCTACATGTTTTCAGAATGTGATCTTTCCCATCTCTAGCTGAAAACAAATGTCAAATTAACCTTATTAGCTTTGACAAATAAACTGCCATTTGATTTAATTAATAATGATTTACTAAAAATATAACAAGAATTTTTATTATATTTTTTTAGGAAATTTGGGGCGTTCTATTATATGTTTCTTCTAGTCAAAATCCTATATTTGGAATTTTTCTTTCATAACTCACAAACACTTGATTGATAAATAAGCTAGTCAATTACAAACCATTTCGGCTTTACTAGATCACGTTAATTTCTCCGCTAATTTAGATAGCAGGGTTTGGGATCAAATTTTTCCAATTTATTTTCTCGTAAATTCTTCTATTAGGTTCTAATGCATTCTTGCTAGTCCAAAAAATCAAAGTCTATTTCATTAACCCATTTGCTAGCTCTAGTCTTTTATAAGAATCATGGATCTTAACAGGACTGGCAACATACAAATTGCATGTGAATATTCATAAGATAATACTTCTTTATCTTATAAAAACCTTGGGAGGATCATATCACAAAAGTTGGTCGTTATAGTTGGAGACCCCAAAATCTTATAAACCTCACACTAGAGTTCCATACTTACCATGTGAGATTCAAGTTACATACCCTGCAATTTGATCCTACCATCTTGCCACACACTCCACAGCCTTGACACCCACAAAGCCTGGCTATGAACTAGCTCTTTGACTAGTCCTAGGTAACACTACAATGCCAACATCACCACCTGCACCACTTGTTTGGAGCTGAGATATAGCAGAATTAAATTGCACTCCTTGTCTTGAAACTAATTCAGTTAGTAGTACTAGAGTGCATTTGATGTGCGTTGAGAATATTGAGGACATAATTTATAAAAACAGATGAACATATATACACAAACAAAATCAATAGGGAATATTTAAGGACGGAGCCCTTTTTCTAGGTCGAAAGTGTAACCGGTTACTAAAGATTTTGAATGTTGTATATTATAGAATTAAACCGAATCATCTATTGGAGGAACTTTTGTGCTTCAAGATTCTATATTTTTTTCTATTCTAGATGTTGTAGTAATTACTGTATATATTATTTTTCATGTCAATTTTAGGTTGATACAGAATAATTTGTTTTTTTATTCTGAATATGATACTAAATATGATTGAGGGAGTTGTTTTTAATTCACAAGTAATATGGTTGTTAATCTAATGGTATGTCCTTGTGAGAATTGATACTAAATATCAGCTTAACTTTTTGTTTCATTTATGCTTAATGCATATAGAAGTAGCTAGGAACTGAAGAATTCTTACACATAGAGTTTGAATATAGTAAAAACAAAGAGTCTGAAATAGATCATGATTAAATATACTTCTTCAATGCTCTTAAAGAAGATTAGTTCATATTCATACCTTCTAAAAAGTTATATATAAATCCAAAATAAATTATTCTTACCAATGCATAATAAGGTCAAGAAATATTGAACCAGCTCCCCACAATTGATAGAATCCATGTGCCAACAATAACCTATCATAACATTTAAAGGTATGAGCATTGGCTCCCAAAAACAAAACTACAAGTAGTATAATCAAAATGTGACAGACTAGAGTAGTAGGTGGTACCCAACCAACTCAAAATAGATCCATACAGCAATGGCTCCACCAAGTACACCACCATATATCTTCATGTTCCTCCGCAATAGCATATCAACAACTGTAATTAAAGATTAAAACTTACATTACATCGAACCTTTCAAAAACCTTAACAAAGGGATTTCCTAATAAATAAAGAAAAAATAGAGATTTCCTACAGTATAACAGGCACACCAAAACAAAGGGCTTTATTGAGTTTACCTTTCACTGACTTTTTTCATTCGTCAAAGAGGGCTTGAGCGCAAGCTGATTAAAGTTTGTCGATGAGAGTTTCGTTAGTGCGACGATCATCGACAACTTGTGTAGTGATGATTGATGAAGGTTTGAGAAGAGTGATCGATGTACGTGCTTCTTGGGTAGTGCGCGAGAGTGCTTGGTAGTGTGATGAGGGTTTTGTCAAAGAGGACTTGAGTGCAAAATGATCAATGTGCTTCCTGGATTATTGTTCGTTGATGAGGGTTTCGATAGTGCAATGATTGTTGACGACTTGGATAGTGTGATGAATAGTGAGGGTTTGAGAAGAGCATGCTTCCTAATTGTGTGCAATCAATGATGTGCCTGCCTCTTGGGTAGTGTGTGTGTGAGAGTTGTAGTGTGAAAGAGGAGTACTTGAGAACTCAATTCTACATCGGTTTCTCACTAAATCGATTTAGAATATTTGATATTTACATTATTTTTTGTATAACTGGTGTAGACATTCTTTCATTTTCCACTTAATTACAAAACTGCCGCCGCATTTTTCTTTTGCATAATTTTTTAGACAACCAATGTAGATAAGGCGATGTTGAACAATGACTTTCTAGTAGTGTTGGTTTTTCTTCCTTTTTCTTGTTTTCTGTGTAGGTTCCTTAGTCTTCCTTTCTTTTTCAACATACTTTTGAACTTTTTGGACATGAAGGAGATCTCATCGTTTGTTGAATCTTCTGAGCTATCTTTTGACATGCTTGACTCAGATTCAACTTTTAGAGCTTTTCCTTTCTCTTTTCTTCCACTCATTTCACCACTCTTCAAGGCAATAATATCTTTTCCCTTGGTTTGATCTCTGTTTTTTAAGTGAACCTCAAGAACACAAAGTGTTCCAAGAAGTTCATTAAGAGTGAGGACTTTTAAGTCTCAAGCTTTAGAGATGGTAGTGGCTTTGGGCTCCCAAACCTTAGGAAGGTTGTCTAGAATCTTGAGATTATTTTGAGCTTTGGAGAACTTAGTTCCCAGGGATTTTAACCCATTTAGAATTTGAAATCTTCTAAACATTTCATGATGGAGGAAGCCCATGGGCCAAGGGCCCAACTACTAGGGCTATGGTAAAGAGGATCCAAGAGGAGTGGGCCCAAGCTCAAGGAAATCCCATCACACTTTTTAGTTGGGCTTTTATTCAAGCCCAAGTAGAGTAGGATTAGTGTAGGTTTGGGCCTTAGGGCTTGTATTTTCTTTAGGCCTTGTGTTTCGGCCACTTAGATTAGGAATTTCATTTCATGGTCATTTGAATTTAGGGTTTAATTAGGGTTGCATGTGTATACTCATTAGAATGTAATTAGCCTTGCATTTGGTATGCATTTCGGCCATGTGCACACATGCACATGGTGTGACCGAAATGCAACTCAAATGGATGACAAATTACATTCCAAATGAGTGCACATGGGTGTGTGACAGGGTTTGGCTCCAAAATTTGAATTTTGAATTCAAATTTTGGGCGCCTAAGGTTAAGTAAACCATACCGTGGTTTCACTTAACCTTAGGCTAACCCATTGTATACCTAAACCTAATTTTGCCTATAAATTCTAGATGGCCGAGATTTGTAAACACTTTTGGATTAATTGAATGAGTTTTCACCATTTGAAACCTCTCCCTCTGAAAGTCTCTCTCAACCTACGTCTACCCTTCTTGAGCTCCTCTCTTTGTAGAGCTAGGTTGCTACTCTTCTATCCGGACTTAGCTTGATCAAGTCTAGGTCACATTGCTTCTTCTTGGAGCTTCCTTCCTTGCAAGACTTCCAAGGAACCGAGAAAAATTAGAAGGTGTTCTTTGAGGATTCACCAAGTGGAACCTCATCAAGTGGTATCTAGAGCTTCGGTCTTCAAGAGATAAGCTCTTATTTCTTGTCTTTTGAATTGTATGATCCGTGTTCATCCTTGTTCATCTTTGTGTTCATGTCATTTTAGAGTTGATTCCTTCCTAGATCTATTTTCTTGTCTTAAAATTAATGGATCTAGTTTCGGTTTTTGCTTGAATGATTCATACGTGCATTTCATCTTGAATTGCTTTTCATGAATCATGCTCCATCTCTTATGCTTTTAGGAAATTTCTGCCTATGAACATTTTGTTTTGTTTGAGTCTTATTTGAAATTTTTTCCGGTTATTGTGTGTTTGAGTCTTTTCTTTTTAAATCCATGTCTAGAAGTCATGTGTAGCTCTTGTTTTTGTTGTCTAACTCTTAGCTATGCTTGTTTAACTTTTGTTTTCATTTTCTTGTGAACATTTTTCTGGATTTGGCCGAGATCCTTTTAGTCCTTCTGTGCTCATAAACTTTGTTTTGATTTGAGTTCATAAACTACTATTAGTTCATTAGTAGTTTTCTTAGTTTTAGGTTTCCTATACTATAAAATGTCTTACAATTTTTTGCTTCAATCCGTGAGTTTAATCTTGTTTGTGTATTGATTGCTGAAACTTTGTGTTTAGCTCAATTTGAAATTTGAATTTAAGAGCTAAAACTGTGCCATGTGCTAAAAACAAAGCAAGTGTCAAAAACATGTTACATTTCATCTCATTTTGACCTAATTTGCTTTTCATTTACATCTTAATTTTGAAACGGTTTTTGGTGCTTTGGAAAAGTGTGACCGAGAGTGTGTGCTTCCAAATTTATAAAGGAAAAAGGCATCTCCTAAGATAAAAAAAAAATATAGAACAAAGTTCAAAAGAAAATTGCAAAAGAAATTTGATTAAAAAAAAAATAGTCAAAAACCTAATTGTCAAAGTAAAAGCCAAACAAGGAGATTGTGATTGTTTTAATGCTCCTCTCAGTTTGACATTGCATCTTTGTGAATACATTTTTCAGCTTACCAATTTTGAGTGTTTTGGTTTTGTTACTTAATTCTAGATCCTATCTAGGTTTATTCCTTCTTGTACTAGCCTTTTCCTTGTTATTTGCTCATCTATCTTGTCTCTTTTTATACTCCATTCTTGTCTTCCTTGAATCTCAATCCTCTTGGCTGTTTGTGTTCATTATTGTAACTCAAGTGTGACCTAGTTTTGACCTATAGTCTATCTCCATAGAAGCTAGTTCTACAAGGGTCATCAAAAGAGGACTAAGAAAAGGAGGAGGAAGGTGACAAAGAGAGCTCTGGATTGGCTACAAAAATTCAAACACCAAACACTTTTGTTGCTGGAAAATTTGTGGTTGCTGCACTTCATCAAATCCGTGGAGACAACTTGGAGTTTCATTTGATTTGTATTGATTTTTATAATAATAAAAAAATAGAACAATTAGTGACGGATTTAGAGACCAAATTTTTCCTTACTAGTTGAACTTTTATTGCAAAATTGGTCTCTAATTTTTCACTAATTTTTGGTGGCTGTTTTTGTAAAATTCTTAAAGCCACTTGTTTAATTTCTGTTCAGTTTTCAATTACCTTGCAATTGGCCATTTTTAGGAGTGTCTTGGGTGTGTCTTTGGTACACAACCATCTCTCTTTAGCTACTTAATTTCGTTAGACTTGGTGGGAGTGATCCTTTATTGGTCTTTGGTACCTCTCAAGCTTTCACCTTAGGAAAACGTTTTAGATAGCTTTTAAATTCTTGCAATCATTGCTTCTGGAGTTGGCATAGGGGTGGTCTTGTTACAGGGTGGGCATCCAATTGCTTATTTCAGTGAAAAACTTAAAGGTGCCTCCCTTAACTACCCTACCTATGACAAAGAGCTCTATGCTTTGGTTAGGACCCTTCAAACTTGGGAACACTATCTTATTCCCAAAGAGTTTGTCATTCATAGTGACCATGAGTCACTTAAATATTTGAGGGGCCAAGGAAAATTAAATAAAAGGCATGCTAAATGGGTAGAGTTCTTGGAACAATTCCCATATGTGATCAAATACAAGAAAGGGAAAAATAATGTTGTGGCTGATGCCCTTTCTAGGAGACACAC